ACTCTGACAGAGGTGGTGAGTTTTCCTCCGATCTCTTGAGGACCTTCTGTCAGGCGGACCTTCACGCTTCCGGACTCCCCACAGCAGAATGGGGTTGCTGAGCGCCGCATTGGCCTGGTCATGGAGGTCGCTCGTACCTCCTTGGTTCACGCGGCGGCTCCCCATTTTCTGTGGCCGTTTGCTGTCCGGTACGCGGACCTCTGGCCCCGTGTCTCCTTGCCAGAGACCTCGCCCACACTGCGTTGGACGGGGGAGGTTGGCGATGCGTCGCGCTTCCGGGTGTGGGGTGCTCGTGCCCTTGTCCGCGATACGTCCGCGGACAAGCTCTCCTCCCGCACACTTCCCTGTGTCTTCCTGGGCTTTGTCCCTGACGCGCCGGGCTGGCAGTTTTACCACCCCACCTCGCGCCGGGTCTTCGCCTCTCAGGACGTCACCTTTGACGAGTCGGTCCCTTTTTACCGTCTCTTCCCCTACCGCACTGCCCCCCTCCCCCCTCCGCCGCTCTTCCTCGCTCCTGGTCCCCCTCCGGTAGACCCCCTTCCCCCTCAGGGTCCTGCTCCTTCAGGTGTTTCTCAGGTCGACCCTCCTCCCGTCGCTGAGCCTGTCGAGGTCACAGGTGACTCAGGTGCTGCTGGGAGTGCTGAGCCTGGGGGTGCTGCGACTGGGGGTGCTGAGCCTGCGTGTGCGGAGTCTGGGGGTGCTGAGTCTGGGGGTGCTGCGCCTGCGGGTACTGAGCCTGGGGGTGCTGCTACTGAGCCTACGGAGCCTCGGGTTGCTGTGTCTGGGGGTGCTCCGGTTCGGGGTGCTGAGCAGTCTCTCACACCGCAGCAGCTTCGTGACTGGTACGTCAGGCGCTTTCGCCGTCCTAGTGACTCGGCTGGAGTTGGGGGTGCTGGAGCTGCTCGTCCTGGGGGTGCTCGTACTGGGGGTACTGGAGCTGCCGGGACTGGTCGTTCTGGGAGCACTACGACTGGAGCTGCTGGAGCTGGGGACTCTGGAGCTGGCGGTACTAGTGGAGTTGGAGCTGCCGACTCTGGGGGTGCTCTTCCTAGCGGTGCTGCGGACCCTGGGGGTGGTGCTGCTGCTGGTGCTGCGGACCCACCTGGTGGAGCTGCTACTGGAGCTGAGGACCCGAGCGGTGGCGCTGCTGCTGGTGCTGGGGACCCGGACGTTGGAGCTCCTGCTGGTACTGAGGACCCGGCCGCTGGAGTCTCTTCTGCTTCTGGAGACGCTGCGCGGCCGCGGCCGTACTTCGTACCGCTCCTTCAGCAGGTTCTTGGGCAGGCTCCTCCTCCTTGTCCTCCTCCCTCCGTAGGGTGTCTCCCGCCTGTCCAGCCGCAGTCACAGTTACCGCCTACCTCACCTCTCCCTGCTCCCTCTCCTTACACTGGTCCCACAGGAGGTCTTACTGAGCGTCGTGAGCCTGAGTCTCGTCCTGCGTCGCCTGTTCGCACTGCTCGCACTGGTCGTCGTGTCCGTCGTGAGCGTCCTCCTCCTGTCCCAGGCACTCACTACATGACTCTGCGTCCCTCTACTGCTCCTCAGCGTGTCCCTCTACCGTCTCCTCCTGCGTCCTCTTTGCCTGACGTTCCGGACCCTGAGTCTGACCGGTATCGTGCTGAGCACCCTACTGTCACGCGTCTCCTAGCTACTGTTGTCACTGACCCTACCTTTGAGTCCTCGGCTGCGTCTGCTCTAGTCGCTGAGTTGGTTGACTTTGCTGCTGCCTGTCGTCTAGACTACGCTGCTAGTCTTGTTGCTGAGTCTGCGTCTGCGTCTGTCTGTCCTCCGTCCGTCGGGGGTGAGTGTGCTCTTGGCACGGACGTCCTTGAGGACAGGCAGGAGGACTTTGACTCTCTCGCGGCTGCTGTACCTCATCTCGTGGCCTGGTTGCTTGCCCCTGAGGGAGACCCGGATGCACTAGACATCCCCACTCCGCGCACTTACGCAGAGGCGATCTCGGGTCCCTACTCCTCTCAGTGGCAGACAGCCATGGACGCAGAGATGGCATCCTGGAAGTCCACAGGCACCTACGTCGACGAGGTTCCCCCTCCTGGGGCGAACATCGTCGATGGCATGTGGATTTTCAGGGTGAAGCGGCCGCCAGGTTCTCCGCCTGTCTTCAAGGCTCGTTACGTTGCTAGAGGCTTCAGTCAGCGTCAGGGGGTCGATTTCTTCCAGACCTTCTCCCCCACCCCGAAGATGACCACTCTTCGGGTTCTGCTGCACGTTGCTGCTCAGCGTGACTACGAGCTTCACTCTCTTGACTTCAGCACAGCGTTCCTGCAGGGCAGCCTGCACGAGGAGATCTGGCTGCGCCGCCCACCTGGCTTTACTGGGTCGTTTCCTCCTGGTACCCAGTGGAGCCTCCGCCGGCCAGTCTACGGTCTCCGCCAGGCGCCACGTGAGTGGCACGACACACTGAGGACTACACTTGCGGCTCTTGGGTTCGCGCCGTCTACTGCTGACCCGTCGCTGTTTCTGCGCACAGACACGTCGCTGCCGCCGTTCTACATTCTCGTGTACGTCGACGACTTGGTCTTTGCTACTGCTGACACTGAGGCACTCGCTCGTGTGAAGTCGGAGCTGCAGAAGAGACACACCTGCACTGACCTGGGTGAACTGCGTAGCTACCTTGGCTTGCAGATCACCCGGGACAGAGCTCGCCGCACCATCACCCTGACTCAGTCACACATGGTGCAGCAGGTCCTTCAGCGCTTCGGCTTCCAGTTCTCCTCACCACAGGCCACACCTCTGGCTACCAGCCACTCGCTCTCAGCTCCACCTTCGGACGAGTCCGTAGAGCCGAGTGGCCCGTACCCAGAGCTTGTAGGCTGCCTCATGTACCTGATGACTTGCACGCGACCTGACCTCGCGTACCCTCTTAGCATCCTTGCTCGTTACGTTGCACCTGGGAGACACAGGCGAGAGCACTGGGAGGCTGCTAAGAGGGTGCTGCGTTACTTGTGCAGTACATCAGGCATGGGGCTGGTGCTTGGAGGACACGACAGAGTTGTCCTCACTGGTCACTCGGACGCTTCTTGGGTGGACGACCTGGCTACGCAGCGGTCATCACAGGGTTACACCTTCAGCCTTGGCTCTGGTTCTGTCTCGTGGCGGTCCACCCGCTCTTCCTCTGTTCTCGGCTCTAGTTGTGAGGCTGAGATCTACGCCACAGCCATGGCTGCACAGGAGTTACGCTGGCTCACCTACCTGCTGACTGACTTGGGAGAGCGGCCTAGTTCTCCTCCAGTTCTGTACGGTGACAACAAGGCGGCTCTTGCCTTGTGTCAGGAGCACAGACTGGAGCACAAGACGAAGCACATTGCTCTTCGCTACTTTCTTGCTCGAGAGCTTCAGCAGCGCGGTCAGCTTCGGCTTGTGTACGTGGACTCGAAGGCCAACACTGCTGATATCTTCACCAAGGCGCTCCCGCCTAGTGATCATCAGCGGCACTGTACTTCTTTAGGCCTTGTGTCCACATTTCCTCACTTGCTCACTGCTTGACATTCTTTGTACTGTACTTTATATATATCTTGTTGCTTGCTTGCTAGGTTTTGATCACTGTGTTGTTTGTCTTGTACTATATCTAGCACTGCATGTGAACTGGCCTTGTGGCCTTTGCTTGTGCTCGGAGTGTGGTGACGTTGTGATCCACCCTGGGCTTGCGTTGCTTTGCTGGACTGGTCTTGTGACCCTTTGTTCTCCCCCACTTTGCCTATGGGGGTGTGTTAAATTGTAATGTGTTATATGTTGGTAGGCTGTAGTGGGGTAGCCAATATGGGGTACAACCCCAACTAGGGTTTGCTACTTGTACCCAACTGTTTCATTCAATGCACTCATTCTTGCCTAGTTCTTCTAACAGGCCAGGCTAGGCCACCTTCTTACACTACGATCCGGAACTGGTGCAAGGAAGCCTTCGCAAAGGTTGGCCTTGGAGAGCTGCAGCTAGGCACCCATTCTTTCCGAAAAGGTGCAGCCACAGTAGCAGCCAACACGGGAGTGCCAGATAGAGTCTTCAAACGGCTGGGCAGATGGCGAAGCGACACAGCAAAGGAAATGTATGTTACGCCATACGTCGAGCCTCTTATCGAAGCCTCCCGTACCCTCCAAGATTCGACGCATGCGGTGTCATCGGCACAACACACAGAGGCACTCGTACGCAACCGAAGGCCCCCGCTGCCCATGTCTCAGGGAACCCATTTGTAATGAGAACGATGCCAATTGATAAGAAAGAAAGCAAGCTTTCTCAATATTATAATTTTTAAACACACATGTAGTGTTTTTTAAAATTGTGTATTGTGAAAGCGAAGCTGCTTGTACTGCACAATTGGCATCGTCGAAGCGCGCTAAACGCCCTTCTCCAACTACAAAAACCGTGGGTTGGAGCTCATTTCCCTCCACCCACGTTTCTCAATTTTCAAACGGCTTCCTCAACATTCCCACCACCCACCACAGAGTAAACCGCCTTGCTAATGCCACTTGGATAGGGTATATCCTAGCTAGCGTTATTAGTCCGCACTAGCTTGTGTCGAATGATGATACAAATGTTGTAATACGCCATTTGTAATGAGAACGATGCCCCATTTGTAATGAGAACGATGCCAATTGATAAGAAAGAAAGCAAGCTTTCTCAATAGACTAGGTGGCAGGTCCGTGGACCTGCCACGAGATATTGAACTGTTGACTCCTTACTGCATCATCCTTTACAAGTCTTGTCATAATCTTCAAATTTTGAAACATATATTTCAAAATTTATCATATTGTGTATCCATTATTTGGCAATTTATAACGGTAAGTGCGCTTATAGTGCGCTTATTTATCAAGCTGTGGCTTATGATCTCGGCGAGATCATTTTGTGAGGACATGCTGCCACTCTGACTACAATCTAAGACATGACTGGAAGGCCTCGTCCAGTGCTTAAAATTAAGCCACAGTAAAACTTCTGGAGCCACAGCTTGATGATGTGAGCGCAATACTTGTACCGTACAACAAACCCCTCACAGTCCAACACTGTGAAACGCCTGCAGAGGAAACCACAGCACGTAATGAGTCGATTTTCAGGTCAGATGAAAAATCGTCACATCACCAAGGGTAAACACAAGGCAGAATGAGACTGTACTGCATGCCTTGAGGCAAACTGCAGGTGCTGGGAGGGATAAGAGCGCCAACGACACGAACCAAGTACATATGACACCACTACCTTGCCGGGCAGACAGCTGTGATTACTAAAACAGGCCACGATGCATTCAGGAGTGGTACCAGAAGTGGTAAAAATAGGCATGGGTTTATAGAAAAGGGATACTGGCGAAAAGTTGCCAACAGTGTCAAAACGGACACTCACCTCCCACAGAGCTTGGATTTCCCCCTCAACCCTCGTAGCAACATCCCGGAAGCTCTCCAGCCGAGCACTTAACACTTCCACCCTTTCCCCATCATCCATTGTGGTGGCCGCACCGCCGATTGCCTCCATTTTCCTCTCATCCAGGCGTTGTTGCAACTCAATCAACCTCCTTGCCACCTCTGCCTTCCCCGTGTCCACCTCCTCGCTCACCTCCCTCATCCTCTCTGCCACCACCACCCTTCCCTCTTCCACCTCACGCCTCCATCCATACATCTCATCCCTCAACTCATCCAACCTGTCCAAAATCCTCCTCTCTCTCTGCGCCACCAGCACAGCCATTTCTGTCTTCAACTCAGCCCTCAGCTCTTCCGGGCATTTCCTTACATCACTACTGACGCACTTCAGAACCTCGACCTCCCTTCTCAGCACAGCCATTTCTGCCTTCACATCATCTCTCAGCTCCTCCATGCATTTCCTTGCATCACCGAATCCACACTTCAGAACCTCAACCTCCCTCCTCAGGATATTCATGTCTCTCTCCCCCTCCTCCTCCACCCTCACCCTTCCTGCCACCTCATTCCTCAACCTCTCTACGTCACCTTTCGTAATCTCCACCTCCTTCATCTCCTCCCTCTCCTCCCTCTCCCCCAACTCTTCCATCTCTCGACTGTATTCCTCCACCACCTCTTCCAGAAAAAGCTTCCCCGACTCAGATAACTCATCCCGATGCCTCCCTTCCTCCTGCACCTCTGCCTGTACCAGCCTCTCCCACATGCCTGGAGCATGTACCCCCCTCTCCCCCATGCCTGGTGTAACCAACTCATCTTGTCCACCCTTAAGCTCTCCGCCTTGGTTTGGCTCTCTCTGCTCTTGCTTTACCCGACTACCAGCCTCAACTTCCCGCTTTACTGCCTGCAGCAGCAGCATCAAACCGTTCATTTTGGAGTTCATTTGAGCCGTCAGATTGTCAATCTGATCAGACAGCCGACAAAAATCTGTCCTCTCTGGTGTTGAGCCTATTGTAACAGGTTTAGCAGCAAATACATGCCTGGCAGGGAGGGAACAATCAGATTTCCGATTTTAGGCTTCAAAAAGCTGAAATGAAAACGGAAACAATAATGATGACAGCAGCACAAAGCAAGGACAGCGAACAATGGGCTTTGGAAACAAGTAGCAGGAAACAATACATTTTGCCAATAATGACTAGCATGTGCCAGAAATACTTCTAATTGCCAAGAACGACACAAGGGTGACGAAAGGAAGATGTAATAACGTACCTGACAGCTTGGCAAACCGAGGTGCCTTGAGTGGCCTGCAACATGGCATAAACTGAAAGTGAGAATAAAAGACGAAGACAGAATATGCACGCTGATATATGGCGTTTCCAGGTCAACAATATATATATATACACATATATATATATATACACACATATATATATATATACACATATATATATATACACATATATATATATATACACACATATATATATATGTGTATATATATATATATAAATCAAGGAGAATTGGAAGTAAATTTTTACCGTGAAGTCAAGGGAGCCCTTCTTCAGCTTGAGCAGGGCAGAACTGACTGCTAATGAATGCTGATGCAGGCTGTGCATGATGTGTGCCTGTAACGCGCCCAACGACCAGACCAGAGGATAAGAAGCAAGGAGCTTCATGCCAAATACATGTGATGTGGAAAGCTGACTGATCACCAAGGGGAAAGGGACGAGAGGAGCAGTGCGAAGGGGGGACGAGGGGCCAGAGGGAATCGGTCGTCTAGGCTTACCATGCAAATGAAGGTGCGCTTTTTCAGCTTGAGAAGGGCGGTTCTGGCTGCCAGTAGCTGCTGGTGCAGGCAGTGCATGATGTGACCCTGGGATACCCCCAGCGACCAGAGGATAAGAACCACAGTGCTCCATGCAAGATACAAGTGAATGAGCTGATGGGTTGTCAGTGAGAAACAGAAGAAGGAAAGAAGTGGAGAGAAAGGCTCATGTGAGGAGTAGGGGAAGAGAGGCCAGAGGATAAGAACCAAGGTGTTCCATGCGTGATACACGCAGATGAGCGGCGGATGCTAGAAGCGGCGGGAAGAGAGGGAGGCGTTGCACAGGAGAAAAAATGGCGGGCTCTTGTAAGCTCAAGAGGTCCTAGTGCAACAGAATTTGACAGAAAAAATGGACACTGAAATTTGGCATTGAATGCAACTTTCACATTCATGACACTACATGAGTGCACCCTCACCACGATGTAAGTGTTGACGGCTGATGGCAGGAGCTTGCTGAGAGCGGCTGGCAGATGCGTGAGATATGATGAGATGCTCGACACCACATGGGATTGCGCAACTGCCGTCCCCTTATCCGTAGCACCTGCCTGATGTCCTGACCCTGTGGTAGTCTGGATAAAGAGTCATCATTTTAAACCACAAGCACAAGGATACCCGAAAGGGTTTTGAGAATAAGGGTTAAGTCGTTAACACCGTGTGCACAGAGAGAGAGCAGAGCACAGGAATTGAGTGATTGAGGTCAAGCCACCCAATATCACGTGGCGTATGGAAACACTCAAATTGAGCCTCAGAGAGTGGTACAGTCCCGGAGTAAGCGCTATCTGTTTGTATCCTAACCTCGAACGAACCCCAAGCAGCATATGCTGTGCTACTTGGCTCCGAGGCCCTGCATACCTGTTGCTGTGTTAATCTGTTCTCTTCCGCCTTCATTCGCTCTATCAACGCTTGTAAACGCTCCTGCTGAGAAAAGGAAATAAAAAAGAGGAAAAAAAAAAGATCTTGCAGGGCTGACGGTGACACGAGAACGTGAGGGACTCCTCGGTCTTCGCTCGTACCAGCGCCGGATGTTGTTAGTTACAAGGCAAGAGCCGCTAATTGACAGGCTGGCAGAGTTGATGGGCAAAATTAGGAACTTCAAAACAGGTACGAGTAGCAGCAAACGAAAGGAAAATATTGATATAACCTTTTTGCAGCACGCACTTCGTTTCCAAAGTGCTCGTCACTGTACAGGCCATACGCGGAAGCAGCCAAGGCAGCTGCGAGCAGCACAACCGCCGTCACCAGCAGCCTTGCAAGCATCGCCGGCCTCGCCAGCCTCGCCCGCGTCGCCATCACCACGACTCAAGGGGAAGAGATTCGAAAGGAGTCGCTTTTGAGAATTCTCTAAAAAAAATTGCACCGCCTCACGGGAACTCGGAGAGGTTCAGGCCGACAGAGATGGTTTTCTCAGCCCTTAGTTGTCCGGAACGTTGTGCTCTGGAGGTATAAACGCCTGACCGCGGCTGTTCATCCTGCTTTTACTAGGGAGCAGACTGGTGAGTCTCTGAACGAGTACAGCTCCGAAAATATGCTGCTGCTATCGCGCAAAGCGCTCTGCACGCGCGAAAGCCCGAACTGGTGCCGCGATTCAGCGGATGGGCGGAACCCGATGGACCCTACGGCGCGCACCCCCCCACCTCTTTTTAACCCTCCATCTTTCCCCACACCGCCTTCGTCGCTCTTCTTTCCTTCCCCCTTCGCGCTAACCGTCACTCTCCGTCCCGGCTCCACCGAAACAAACTGCGCGCAGCATAATATTGCGAGCAGGGATGCTCGAGGTACTGACGGGCGGAAGAAGCAGCGCAGAGGCATGGTTGCGAGGAGGGCTGCGCGAGGTTGGGGGAACCGACTCGCATGCATGGAAAGGAATCAAGGGAAAGTCGAGGCCACGTGGCAGGGAAATGAGTCGTGCAAGGGATGGATTTCGTGAATACAGATAGAAATTCTATAATAGACTTATTCACTCATGGTTCAGTGAACGCGGTGGAGAACGAGGCTGTACGTTTTAGAACGGTTTGAATGCCAACCGCTTTGAACCGCCACCCACCTTTCTGAACAGTGATACTTAACTGAAAGCGAATTGGGCCCGCCTTAGCTGACTTACAGTCGAAGTACCTAGTATCTGAACTGTTTCTGATTGTTTCTTTATCCGTCACCCTTATTCTATCGCGTATGATCCCAGCCACCCCTTTCTCCCTGCTCCAGAACCGTCTATTCCCGCTGGGGAGAGTGGCTTTGACGTTTTTCTTATGGGTAACTTAGTTCCGCCGCTCACTGCTACACAGTACTAGCACCTGCGTGGGCCTCCTAGTCACGGCACACGAAGGTAATGCGAGCCATATACTTGCACCGCCTACGGCCGCCTCGCACCGCAAATACCGCTTCGCAGCAATGCACGAGTTTCTTCCGTAACCTGACGACTTCATTGCCGTCTCAACCCATCCGAAACCACCAAGAACCTTCCGCAACGGACACATTGCCGGCCGGAGGGAAATTCCGAGCAGCAAGCACGTCGCGGATTTACTACCACGCAGCTGCAAATAGATTTGCGACCGCGATCCCGTCGCACGAACACACACGAGCGATATCTCTGTCGCACACACAAGCGAGGCCTCCGACCGTTATTCCATTGCACAAACGCATAAGGGAGACATATTTTGAGTCGACTCTAGACCCGTCGCACGCACGCACACGAAATTTGTCGCCTACGAGCGTCCACGCCTCCTCGCGTAATCCCATACCCTCCTCTTCACACGGATTTTCCGACAACTTCGCCTACAGGTTCAGCTTCAGCCGTTTTGAACCTTTCACTATCCATCCAAACCGCTACCATCCGACGTTTCTTCTCGGGACCGCATCGCCAGCTGGCAGGTTGGGATTGGCCCGTATCCCCCATCGTGTCACGTCACATCACACCCATAAGTGGCTAGCCGGTCAAATGGACGGCCAACCGCAGCGGCAAGAGCTCAGACCTGACGGCGAGCCTAGGGAAGGGGAGGTCAGAAACGGAGAGGTGAATCAGACGGCAGGCGACGTGGATAACTCGATGTTTCAAGGCACAGAAGCAGAAGCGGGGCCGCTTCTAGAGGGGATGGAGCCGAACGGCGTTCATACCGGCAGCAGCAGCTTCGGTCAGTACGGTTACCCTTCCCACTCTCCATCTATTTCTCCCTTGCAGCTCTTCTGTTGTCGTCACAGCCTTGCTTAGAATCTTGCATATGGGCTGACAGGTCACCTGGGGTTGACATGTTACATGCTTGGTATAATGCTCAATATGAATCATTTGACATGTGTCTTACCCTGTGCACTCATTTCACTAGTGACCAGGGGAACAATGAGCCACTCACCAGCCAGGCCCCATGTGCTTTCACTCGATATCCTGTATCGACACATGGGTACAAGCATGTATTAATGCCATTCCGTGCTTGCTGCACTCAGCATGATGCTTCTCGTGTATCCTCCACGCTGACCCCTCTGGATGAAACGTGACTTTTGAGTCGACTCAAAAGCCATTCCGTGCTTGCTGCACTCAGCCTGATGCTTCTCGTGTATCCTCCACGCTGACCCGACCCCTCTGGATGAAACGTCATCGTCCTGATTCTCCCTCAACCCTCATCGCCTGAATTTCCAGCTGTTTAGGGTTATTCCACCTTTCCCATCTCCATTTCCATGCCTACCCTCCATCCCCACCCTCCAGGCACCACCAATAGCTCGACCTCCCATCCCCACCCCACCCCCCCTCTCTCCCTCCTCTCCCTCCTCCTCCTCCGCCTATCGCGCGCCCTCACAACCCTCCCCACGCCCTCCGACCTGCGATTCACGCTCCTCACCATCATCGCCATCTCGCCTCTCATGTACCTTTTCGCCTCCTGGGCCGATGCATTCTCCCCCCCCCCCCCCCCCCCCCCCCCCCCCCCCAGGCCAGCTTGGAACATGCCTTCTAACCCTCCTCTTCCTTTTCTTCCTTTTCTTTCCCTCCCTCATCCTTTCCCCCTTTCCCCCAGGTACCGCCAATGCTGCAGCCTCCCCTCCCCATCCCAACCCACCTCCCCCCCTCCTCTCCCTCCTCTTCCTCCGCCTATCCCGCGCGCTCACAACCCTCCCCACGCCCTCCGACCTCCAATATACTCTCCTCACCATCATCGCCATCTCGCCTCTCATGTACCTCTTTGCCTCCTGGGCAGATGCATTCTACCTCCCCCAAGCCGGATTCCCCATCCCCCTCATCGCCTTTGTCTTCGTCTTCCCCTCCTTCTGGGAAGAGCTCTTCTGGAGGGTGCTGCTCAATCCCCATCCTGCCGAACCCCCTTCTACTCCCCCCTCCTGGCTCCACTCTCGCATCGTTTCCCTCCTCGCTCGCACCTCCTCGCTCCTCGCTCCTTTCGTCTCCTCCTTCCCGTTTCTGCGATCGTTACCGCTCTCCCAGGATTGGCTTGCGGATCCGAAAGTGTTTTACGGCATTTTGTCAACATCCTTATACGTGTTAGCGCATCCCTTTCTAGCGTGGTTGAGCCGGCCTGCTGCGTTAAGGTTATTTTCGCACCCGGGGTTTCTGCTCTGCTGTGTCGTGCTTGGGACGGCATGCCTTGTAGTGTACCGGAGATCTGGGTCGGCCTGGGCGGCAATTTTGGTGCACTGGATTGCAGTGTCTGTCTGGATGTGCTTGGGAGGAAGGCACCAGGCACCGTTCTGAAACGTTACACACCCTGATTTATGCCATTTACTGTTCCTCATAACAAAGAAACTCGTTATGACTACAGTAGAAACATGCTACCTACATGTTTCAAGGTTGGCACAGAATATTGTGCCATTCTGGAAGACACCGCCAATACATCTCAAAACGTGCACACTACAGCCTAACCTGACGTTTTCACCCTTGTCGAGACTAGCAGATCCGATGTAAATCATACCATACACCTTTTGTTCCAATGCTCCTCAACCCCACCCTATAAATCCTTAGCACTCTTCGCCTCCAATCTATCTCCTCTCCCCTGCCTTTCTCAACCCCCTCTCGTTGTCTTAGCTCCTCCCTAATCTTCCTCTTCTGCTTGTCCCTGTGCTTAGTCCTCTCCTCAAACCCACTTTCTGAACCTTTTAGGGTACATTCCGCTCTCTGGACAGTGTCTCAAAGAAAAGTGTCTGAATCGATTCTACCGTACTGCATCGTATTACACCGAATTACACCCTAGTTTCAAACATTGTCGAAATTTTCGCGTCTCTGGTTGGTTCGGAGCGGTACACTCAATTGGGGCACTTTCTTTGAGACAGTGTCCAGAGCGGAATGTACCCTTAGCAACGCTTCTCTCCCCTCAAGCGGCCCCCCCTCACTTGTCATTCTTCCCTTCCTCACTCCGCTCTCGCTCTCTCCGATCCTCCCGAATCTTCCTCTTCTGCTCGGCCCTCTGCTTCGCCCGCTCCTCGAACCCACTTTCTGATACCTTCAGCAGTGCTGCCCTCCGTGCCTTGAACACCTGCGTAAGGAAAGAAAGCGAGGAGAACATTTTTACACCAGCACCACTATACGAGCCTTGCAAAGCTGACAGAGAGAGGCCAACAAGTGTCATCTACAGAAAAATAATAAAAGTCACGCAAGCAGGCGCACACAAACAGCCAAACAAGGAGAGTGGGGTGATTCGTTCAATAGCTCCTCAGGCATTGAAGGGGAGGTCACACTGCTTCCACTCACCTTGCTGATGCATTTAAGCACATCGCTTTCAGTCACATCAGTGCACTCTGCGAGCTGTCGACCAATTAACTTCTCGATGCTGTGCACCAGATGCACGTCGTACTGTGGGGGGAAAGAGGGAGGGGAGGGGGGAGTGGGAGCGAGCAGACAGCGTACATCAGTACTCCCTCTCCGTGCTGCACGCAGTGCATTCCGCGAGCTGTCGGCCAATTAACTTCTCAATGCTGTGCACCAGACGCACGTCGTACTGCCATTGGGCAGAATGGGGAGGGAGGGGGAGGCGAAAAGGGGAGTGGTGAGAAGGGTGAGGGAGAGAGCATTTAGTGAGAGAGAGTGTTGAGTCACCCTCTATGTGTTGAGACACAGCGCAGCATGCCAGCTGTCGGCCAATGAGCTTCTCAATGCTGTGCACCAGACGCACGTCGTACTGCCATGCCATGGGGGAAGGGGGAGGGATGGGGAGTGGAGAGATGGCAGTCAGCACACACAGTGTTCATCAGCTCACCACTCCCTCTCCGTACTGCACACATCAGTGCACTCCGCCAGCCGTCAGCCAATGAGTTTTTCGATGCTGTGAACCAAATGCACGTCGTACTGCAATGGGGGGTAGGCCCGCAGGGGTGGGATGGAACAGAGGGAGGGTAGTAAGGAGAGGAGTACAGTTCAGAAAATCATGAACATGCGACATTCGATTCTGTGCACCAGTTTTTGAGTCGACTCAAAAACATGCGACATTCGATTCTGTGCACCAGGTGCACATCGTACTGCCGTGGAAAGGGAGGGAGAGAGGTGACAAACGAAGCTAGTGAGAGAGAGGTGAGAAGGGAAAGGGAGAGAGCACGCTCCCTTCGTCACGTCACAGTCGCACTTGCGAAACAATACACACAGCACCTTCATCATTTGCTAGATTCACACTTACCTGAGTCACCAGGCTGATGGCCCGCCCGCCCCTCCCTGCTCTGGCTGTTCGTCCCACCCTGTGCACATAGTCCCGTGTGAATCTGGTGGGTGGGATGGGGGGTGGGGCGACAGGGTGGGGTGACAGGGTGGCATGATAGGGGCACGGGGTTTCATACGGCATCTCATGAGTCCGCCCCTCCCTGCTCTGGCTGTTCGCCCCACCCTGTGCACATAGTCCCGTGTGAATCTGGTGGGTGTGTTACAGCGGGGAGGAGAGCAGAGCAGAAGGGTGGAGGGTAAGGCACTGCATAAGTCGCCTCTCGCCCGCCCCTCCCTGCTCTGGCCATTCGCTCCACCCGGTGCACATAGTCCCGAGTGAACCTGAGGGATGGGATGGGGAATGGGGTGACAGGGTGGGGTGACAGGGTGGCGTGAGAGGGGTACGGGGTTTCATACGGCGTCTCACGAGTCCGCCCCTCCCTGCTCTGGCCGTTTGCCCCACCCTGTGCACATAGTCAAGAATGAACCTAGGGTTGAGATGCAGGAAACGAAACAGGGGAATAGAAAGGTTGAGACTCGAACCACTCAACGCACATTGAGTCGACACCCATGCGTGTTCTTGTTTCAGAGCGATCAAGCGGCACAGCAGTGCAGTGCCACATGGGGATGACATAGTTAATGACACTGCATGGGAATGTGGGAATGTGGGAATGTCCAGCCAGCAGCCCTCTGCTGGCAAAGTCAGTGCCCAGCCCACCAGCCGGATGGGTACTTGGGATGCCTTGAAGCAAAGAAGCCTCTCGAGTGAAAGGACCGACGTTGGACAATTGTGACATGAAACCTGTTCAGTGAGAGAACCCACCCGGGAATGTCATAACCTCTTAACAATTACCCATTTGACCCTGGAAATGTCTGTAGCCACCAGGATGGGCACTTGGGACGCCTTGATTGATCGTTGGGCCCCACACTGCTGTTCAATAGTGGAGTGATCAACCAAGGCAGCACTCACCTGGGGATGTCGTAGTTGATCACCTGGTTCACTGTGGGAATATCCAGCCCTCTGCTAGCGACGTCTGTCGCCACCAGGATGGGCATTTGAGACGCTTTGAAGCACACTGATGTGGGTACGCATGGGATGGCCAGTGCTCACCTAGGAATGTCATAGTTGATCACCAGATCGACAGTGGGAATATCCAGCCCTCTGCTAGCGACGTCTGTCGCCACCAGAATCGGCACTTGAGACGCCTTGAAGCGGTGCAGAGCGGCCGAGCGCTTGCGCTGCGGCAGCAGGGCGTGCAGAGGCGCGTTGGAGAGACCCACCTCGTCTAGCAGTGCACTCACTGCCTGGCATGATCTGAAAGAGGGAGACGAGGGTGAGAGGGACAGGAGCGAGCCTGATGTGCGAACTGATGGGCACTAGCCGACCAATTAGGCACAAGAGGAGACTCTGGGGTCAGATCTTTCCGAAAAAAAAAAAGAAGAAATAAAAAAATAAAACCATGGAAATGCTGGAAGGCTGATTGGCAGGAGAGACACAACAAACCAAGACTAGAGACGTCCAACACTTCAAAACAAAATCGGCACATAGGCAGGAGTAGGAGACATTGGGCCTAGGCAGTGGCGCGTGGCACAAGGGCCACCAGGATCACAGAGCACATGGTGGGCGTGCAGCAAAGTGACTTTTGAGTCGACTCAAAAGTCACAGAGCACATGGTGGGCGTGCAGCAAAGTGACTTTTGAGTGGACTCAAAAGTCACAGAGCACATGGTGGGCGTGCAGCAGCAGAGGTGGGGAAGAAAAGGCACTGAGGAGAGGAGGGAAGCGCCCTATCAGAACACCTGCTGCCGCATCACAATCCCCAGTTTGAGCTTGCTTACTGGCAGGACGAGGTGAAGACGATAACTGTGTGACTTTTGAGAATTCTCAAAAGTCACACGGATATAGCTTACTGACACGACGAGGTGAAGACGATAACTGAGCGCACGGGCGGATGGGCAGCAGCAGAGGCGGGGAGGGGCGGTGCGGGGGGAAGGGGAAGGAGGAAAGCACCACATCGGATCACCTGGTTCCGCATCACAATCCTCATTGTACTTTTACTTACTGGCAGGACGAGGTGAAGACGATCACGGAGCGCACGGGCGGGCGGGCGGCAGCAGAGGCGGGGAGGGGCGGTGCAGGGGGGAGGATGGTGGGGAGGGAGGGGAGGAGGCGGGAGAGCAGGCGACAGAGGTAGACGTCTCGCACATTGGCGGGCAGGAAGAGGTAGGTTTGGTCTAATGCTTCGACCGTCTTAAAGCCCTCGTAGGCCTCAAAGTGAAACAGTTTCTTGGCTTTGCTCATAGCCTGCCAATGGGTAGGAGGCACGGCGCAAAACGGGGAAAGCGGCATGGGTAATGGGCCTGGGATGGGTTCTCATCAGGGAGGGGAGGAGGCGGGAGAGGAAGCGGCAGAGGTAGACGTCTCGCACGTTGGCGGGCAGGAAGAGGTAGGTTTGATCCAATGCCTCGACTGTCTTAAAGCCCTCTTATGCTTCGAAATGGAGCAGCTTTTTAATCTTGCTCATGGCCTGTGTGTGCGTAGGGGTCGGGTACAACGCACAGAAGAGCACGGGGGACGCAATGATGAGTTATCACGAGGTGGAGGAGGCGGCAGAGGTAGACGTCTCGCACGTTGGCGGGCAGGAAGAGGTAGGTTTGATCCAGAGCTTCCACTGTCTTAAAGCCCTCGTAGGCTTCGAAATGGAACAGCTTCTTCGTTTTGCTCATGGCCTGCCGATGAGTAGGGGGCACAGCACACACGGGGAAAAGGGGAGAAAAGGGGCAAACCGCATGGGTAATGGGCATGGGACGGGTTCTCATCAGGGAGGGGAGGAGGCGGGAGAGGAGGCGACAGAGGTAGACGTCTCGCACGTTGGCGGGCAGGAAGAGGTAGGTCTGATCCAATGCCTCGACTGTCTTAAAGCCCTCATAGGCCTCAAAGTTAAACAGCCTCGCTTGCTCACGCCGTGCTGGCATGCAACGGGATAGGGTATGGGGCATGGAATATTTAACGTCCTTAAAAAAACAACACACGTTGAGTCGACTCAAAAGTCACCTCGCTTGCTCACGCCGTGCTGGCACGCAAGGGGATAGGGTATGGAGCATGAATTCTGACCGCTTTTAAAGAACAACAACCCACTTTGAGGGCGGGCAGGCGCATGCAACACCCACATTAACCAGGCGTTCGCCGGTTGGAAAGCGAAGGTAGCAGAGATGTTTTTTGAGAATGCGAAGGCGTTCAAAAAACAGGCGTTCGCCGGTTGGAAAGCGAAGGTAGCAGAGATGTTTTTTGAGAATGCGAAGGCGTTAAAAAAACAGGCATTCGCCGGTTGGAAAGCGAAGGTAGCAGAGATGAGCAGCACAGCACCCACATTGGCCGGGCGTCGGTCGGTCTCTCTTTGGTCAAGACAAGGTACAAGGTGCAAGGCGCACATGCGATGCCCACCTAAAGTGCATGCAGGTTTGCATTTGAGACGACTGACAAGTCGAAATCCCTCCTCCAAGGCGTGCAGGTTGGCAGTGAAGGTAGCAGAGACGAGCAGTGTCTGCCTCCTCAGTGAAGACACAATGTGGGGCGCACATGCGGTAACCATGCAACGCCCTTGCCACCCACATTGAGTGCATGCAGGTCAGCAGTGAAGGTGGCGGAGAAGAGCAGTGTCTGCCTCTCCTTGGGCATCCTCGCCAGAACCGCCGCTATCTCCTCCTCACAGCCTCGGTCCTATCTGCCTTTCTTCGAGTGCATGGAACACACCTTGAGCGCGTGTAGATTGGCAGTGAACGTGGTTGAAAACAGCAGTGTCTGCCTCTCCTTGGGCATCCTCGCCAGAATCGCCGCTGTTTCCTCCTCGAAGCCTTTCCACACACCTTCAAGGCGTGCAGGTTGGCGGTGAAGGTGGCTGAGAAGAGCAGCGTCTGCCTCTCTTTCGGCATCCTCGCCAGAATCGCCGCTATCTCCACCTCAAACCCACGGTCTAGCAGGCGATCGGCCTCGTCCAACACCAGAAACTGGGAGGACGGGGAGGGGCAACAAAATCGCCGCTATCTCCTCCTCGAAGCCTCGGTTAAGGGAAGGAAATGGGGAGAGAAAGCAAGCACCAACAGAGGGAGCAATGGAACTAGCAGCGATAGAAACAGCTGCCCGTGCCACCCTGCCCATGCCACCCATGCCTCGTGCATTTCAATCCCATGCTGACTAGTGAACACCCATGCTCTCCTCCTGATCCAGCATCTCTCTCAGCCCGATACCGAGGCGTCATTAACTGTGCATACCGACTTGTTATGCATACTAGAAGGAAGCTGTTGCTGCCACCCTTTTATCCACCCACCTGCAGGTTGCTGAACACGCGCCCCATGCTCTCCTCCTGATCCAGCATCTCCCTCAGTCGCCCCGGAGTTGCCACCACCACGTGCGGCCGACCTGTCAACTGCATGGCCTGAGGGGCATAAGGGGAGGCAAGCGGGAAGAGAGGGTGGAAGGCGAGCGGGTCAGCAGGAGATGGGGGAAGATGGGAGGAGCATATGAGCGGGAAGTGGGGAGAAGGGAGAGAGCAGAACTGTATTCATGCATGCATGTATGTGTGTAGAGGAGCACTGCATTGCATTCGCACATGCACGCAGTGTATGTGGCACGGGAGGAGAAGGGCCCGACCCTGATGGGTGAAGGGTGGGGTCACGTATGTTCCCCGTGGCATGTATACACCCCGACACCGATGTGTAGGCAGAACTGAACGTCGAAGAAGAGAACTCTCTTTTTCGACCACCCCGATGGCATCTATGTCAAGATGAAGACACTTTTGAGTCGAAGGACCCGACCTCTGCACATCAAGAACTGGTCGGATTTGGGGGTGTTTTGAGACGTATCAAAACTGGTCGAAGGACCCCGACCTCTTGCACATGTGCAACTGGTCGGATGTGGGGTGTTCTGAAACCCGGACTCGCGCCTTGCTTCTCACCTGCTCCACATGTCACCTCCATCGATGGCAATCGCGCAGCGCAGAGAGAGTGACGACCCAAGAGGCTAGGGCACTGAACTGCTACTACAGATCCAGCTGATGGCAATGGCGCAGCACAGCGAGAGGGAGAACTCCAGAGCTCAGTGAATACATGTCTGGCTGGGTTTGGTTCTTCCCTTCCCACTCACCTGCTCCTCCATGTCGCCCCCACCAATGGCAACAGCGCAGCGGGAGGGAGGGACGACCCCAGAGCCCTGGAATGGTCAGATAGTAGGTGGTACAGAGAAGGAAGACCAAGCCCTAAACCTCCCTCACCTGCTCCACCATGTCACCGCCACCGATTGCAATAGCACAGCGCAGCGCAGCGGAAGGGACGGACGACTCCAGAGCCCGGAACTGGTGGGATGGTTGGTACTAGTACCGGAGGTGAGATGGTTGTGCAAACCACCCAGCACAAACCGGAGTCCTCCTTCTCACTCACCTGCTCCACCATGTCACTGCCACCAATTGCAACAGCGCAGCGCAGAGAGAGAGACGACCCCAGAGCGCAGAGACGACACCAATTGGAACCGGTCGGTCGGTTGGTATCACTACAGAAAGCCAGCCCAAACCCGAGTCCTCCTTCTCACTCACTTGCTCCACCTTGCCAGTTGCACCTAGGTGTATATTCCTCTTCTCACCTGCTCCTCCACCATGTCACCCCCGCCAATAGCAATGGCGCAGCGCAGTGAGAGCGATGACCCCAGAGCGTGAGATCGGACGGCTGGTAGTACCAGAGGAACCCGGCCCACACCCAAGCCCTAAATCTCACTCACCTGGTCCACCATGTCGCCCCCGCCAATGGCAACGGCACAGCGCAGCGAAAGAGACGACCCCAGAGCGCGGAACTGGTCGGCTATCTGCAGGGCGAGCTCCCTGGTGGGCGTCAGCACGAGGGCAAAGACCCCATAGGGGTCCTCTGCTAGCTTCTGCAGAGGGGGGCGGAGGGGTGGGTGGACAGGTACAGGCAAGGGAGGGAGAGGATCCGTGTGAACCAGCCCCCGACCTGCAGGGCGAGCTCCCTGGTGGGCGTCAGCACGAGTGCAACGACCCCATAGGGGTCCTCTGCTAGCTTCTGCAGAGGGAAAGCGGGGGCGGGCGGAGCGGTGCAGAGGGAAGAAAAAGAGGTTGGGCCGGGGAAAAGTGTCCCGAAACTGATCAGCGATCTGCAGAGCGAGCTCCCTGGTGGGCGTCAGCACCAGAGCGAAGACTCCATATGGGTCCGCCTCGGCTAGTTTCTGCATGAGTGGAAGGCAGGCGGAGGGGTGCAGGAAGAGAGGGGGCAAAGAGGAGACCCTTGGGCGTCAGCACCAGAACTCCCTGGTGAGGAATTCTGCAGAGCGAGCTCCCTGGTGGGCGTGAGCACCAGAGCGAACACGCCTTCCAGATTATCTTATCCTCTGCTAGCTTCTGCAGGAGGGGCGAGGGGTGGGAGAGAAGAGAAGGTTCAGGTAAGGGAACGAGAGGATGTGTGTGGGGGGGAAGTGGCACCATGCCGTGTGAAGTGGTCGGTGATCTGCAGGGCGAACTCCCCGGTGGGGGTGAGCACCAGAGCGAACATGCCATCCAAGGTATTCTCTGCTAGCTACTGCGGGAGGGGCGAGGGGTGGGTGAGCAGGTTCAGGAAAGGGAACGAGAGGATGTGTGTGACTCCCCGGTGGAGGTCAGTGTCAGTCTTACCAGTGAGCACCAGAGCGAACATGCCATCCAAGGTATTCTCTGCTAGCTACTGCAGGAGGGGCGAGGGGATGGATGGACAGGTAAGGGGAGGGAGGGAGAGCATGCATGTGTGAGGAAACGGGGGGAGGGATGCAGAGGGAAGGGAAACTGGGTGGGTGAGGTGAAGAAACTGCAGTGAGGCTCAGGGTTTAAGGCTTGGGGTTTCGGCGTGAAGAACCCACTTGCAACGGGCTTGCACCACACCAATCACGTTGCTGCCCGCGATGACAAGGGGGGTGGACTCACACTGAAAGGCGGGTCAGGGTTTTATAAGAGTTTGGGTTTGGGATTTGGACTGACATACCCACCTGCAGAATTGGTAGGGCAAAAGCAGCCGTTTTCCCACTGCCGGTCTGAGCCACACCAATCACATTGCTGCCCACGATGACAGGGGGGATGCACGTGCACTGCACTGGGCCTTCGGGTTGGGGCTTGGGGTTTAAGATTGCAGGACCCACCTGGAGTATAGGCAGGGCGAAGGCGGCAGTTTTGCCACTTCCCGTCTGAGCCACCCCGATCACGTTGCTGCCCGCGATGACAGGCGGGATGCACGCGCACTGCACTGGGGTGGGGTGACGCAGACCCATCTCGTGACACGTGGCAACCAGCCACGGCGCCAGTGCCAGGTCAGCAAAGGAGTCACACGTGGCAGTGGCTGAGAGGGACACGTCAGCTTTGGCGAGCAGCGCATTTGCTGCTGCATCGTCCTCCTCTGTTCCTCCGTCCTCTGCTTTCTCCTCTTCCCTCCCCTCTTCCTCCTCCTCGTCCTCCCCTTCACTACCACCATCTATCTCTTCTTCCTCTTCATCCTCCTCTTCCTCTTCCACCTCCCCCTCTTCCTCTCCTTCCTCCTCCCCATCCTCGCCTTCCTCCTCATGTTCCCTCCCTCTCTCCTCCCCTCCCTCTTCACCCTCCTCTCCTTCCTCCATCTTCCCATCCGCCTCTCCACTAACCCCCGCCTTCCGCCTCTTTCCCCCGCCCACCCGCTTCCGCCGTCCCCCCCGCCCCCCCTCCCCCATCAGCTCCCTCGCCTGCGTGCCATCTCTGCTGACGTCACCTGCCTCCTCGCCGCCCCTGACGCCGCCACGTGTACGGCCGATCTTATCCACGTCATCATCGCAATCACCCCTCTGCGCATCCTCGCCTCCGCGCAAAACTCCCCCTTCCCCCCAATCTCCTTGATTTCCCCCCCTCTCACCCGTAAACCCTACACCTTGAACCCTGCTCGCAGTCAATGTATTTGCCTCCGACGCTTTTTTATGCGAGCCTAACGAGGGATCTTCCGTGCGACTAGACTTAGCCTTATTCGTATCGTCAACCCCTAATGCTTTACGCTTCTTTGCACCATGACCCTTCGCAACAGATCTGGCGGGACCTGCTTCTGCTGGTAACCTATCTCGTAACGAATTCGCTCCCTTATCCGTGGCCTCGCCGGCCGCCCCCGTTACAGTCACGCTCGCGCGATTCGCAGCGCTCGCAGCCGCGTCGTCCCCGCCTCCCGATCCAACTGCGGGTTTTTTCGTCTTCCTTGCTTTCAGGAACTTCGACGAGAACAATGGAGGCGCTTCGAGCGCCATAACAACGAACCAGGAGCGGGTTTCCTGCAACGGTAACTTTTCCGTGACCACCGGCCGATGATCAGTCGCCAATGAGTTGTATGTAGCTCGACTTGTCACCTACATGGGGAATCGAGCTTGCTACGGACAAAATTTGATTTCGCTACACTCGGCACAACGTGAAATGTTGTGAACCGATTAACGTCGATTATCGATCGAGTCAAGTGCCGGTCACGGTTGGCAGTTCAGCTTTTAACTAGGCCACGGGTTTTCAACTCCTCCATCACCATGTTGTAAGGTTCAGTGCTAATGCTCATAGTACTACCAGGGTCGACTGCCGCTTGCTGGTTTTGGGTAACTACGAGATCCGAGTATCTACGAAATGACTTTCGTGCTGGTGGGTGGTGGGTGGGTGGGTGGACACTGATCCTTATGTAACAGAACACTGCACAGTTCCTGTAAGGATTTACAAATTCTTAGTGAGGCACTCTTTAGCGAGGTAATTCCGAGGGTCACGCACCGAACCATTCCCGAGTCGGTCCCGCCCCAATTCAACCAAACACAATTTCACAAATGGGCGTACGGTATGTGCCAATTACTTTGTACAGTGAGTCATCAAACATAATTTGCACTTTTATAGAGTCAGCTGGTTCCATCCAGCACCATATCTAATAGCTAAAGTCAAACAAGAATGCCCCATTTTGCTGAGTCCACATTTCAGCACCTGCCACAATCGAAGGGGCATGGTTCAATACATAGGTTAAGCAACAAAACTGACATTTCCCGATGGGCAGAGCAATCAGTAAACATGTTGCGAGGACACAATCAAGTAGCTAACTTGTGACTGAAACAGCCATAGCTGCCTGAAACGATAAGCCACGCACACAACCTATTAAAGCCATGTTGTTCTACAGACCCCCAAGGCAGCAAGCATGCACTCGAGAGCAAGCCCACCAGAGTGGATTCTGTCAAATGTTGTAGCCTATAGTGAGGTTTGTCTTAGGGGGTACAAAACTTAGGGTTAGCTATATGTACCCCAACCAACATCAATGCACCATCCATTCTTCATTCTGACATGGTATCAGTTAGGTTAGGATCCTGTGGGATCCCGTTCCTCCGTTCTCCGTTCGAGCCTCCCGAGCCTGATCCTAGCTCTCATTCGTCCCGGTTCCGTTGTTACCGCGCGTAGTGCCGCGCCTAGCGCCACTCCTAGCGTCGCGTCCTGCCCGCCCTTTCCCCCTCGTCGCGTCCCTTTCCCCCCGTCGCGTCGCGCCCTTTCCCCCCAGTCGAGTCGCGCCCTTTCCCCCCGTCGCGTCGCGCCCTTTCCCCCCGTCGCGTCGCGCCCTTTCCCCCCGTCCCGTCGCCCTGCCCCGTCCCGTCGCCCTGCCCCGTCCCGTCGCCCTGCCCCGTCCCGTCGCCTCTGCTCCGTCGCGTCGCCCTGCCCCGTCCCGTCGCCCTGCCCCGTCCCGTCGCCCTTCCCGTCCCGTCGCCCTGCCCCGTCGCGTCGCCCTGCCCCGTCGCGTCGCCCTGCCCAGTCCCGTCGCCCTTCCCCGTCGCGTCGCCCTGCCCCGTCGCATCGCCCTGCCCCGTCGTGTCGCCCTTCCCCGTCCCGTCGCCTCTGCTCCGTCGCGTCGCCCTGCCCCGTCGCGTCGCCCTGCCCCGTCGCATCGCGCCCGCCCTTTCCCCCGTCCCGTCGACCCTACGCCCTGGCCCGTCGCCCTAGCCCGTTCTTCCGCTGCGACTAAGTCCCCCCACCTGAACCCTAATTTGCCTCTTACCTCCTGCTGTTACTCGCCTGCTCGTTCGCGTTAGTTCTCGCTATGGTGACTCCTCGAGTTCTTCGTTTCGACGCTGACGGTAGACCTCTTGACTTTTCCGTCTGGCTTCTTCGCGCTCGCCGTCTGTTAGAGAGTCAGGTCCAGGGGGGCGAGACCCTCTGGTCGCACGCTACTGGTGACCTCCCCGAGCCCCCCGAGCCTGCCGCTTTAGGTCCTGCCCCTGACGATGCTGCTACGGCTCGCTTTGCCCGTCAGCGCGCTGACAGGACGGCTTGGACGTCGCGTGACGCTGCGGCCTGCATCGCACTCAGCAGCCTCCTCCCTGAGTCAGAGGAGGTCCACTTCACTCAGGTTCGCACCGCTGCTGCGTACCTCACTGCGATTAAGGCCCGCTACTCTACTCCCGCTACTGTCTCTCTTGGCCGTCTTTTCCTCCCGTTCCTGTTTCCTGATCTCGCCTCGTTTGAGCGCTCTGCTGACTTGATCGCTCACCTCCGCTCGCTCGACGCTAGTTACCGCGCTGCTTGCACTGAGGCACAGCTTGCACTGCTTCCTCCCCCTATGGCGATTACTATCTATTTCATCGCCACTAGCCTTCCTGACCGCCTTGCCTCTGTTCGCGACGCGCTTCTGCTGAAGCACCCTAGTGAGCTCACCGTCGATGTCCTTGAGTCCGCACTCAAGGACGTCGAGAGCAACCTTCGCTCGGTAGCCGCTGCCTCTGGTGCTGTGCCCCCCCCACTCTTCCACGGGTGCACAGTCCCGCAGTTACCCACCTTTACTGCCTCACTTGCCACTGCCGCTACTGACGCGACTGCAGCTGCTGTTACGACTGCGTCGCGGTCCCGCGGTAGGAGTGGCAAGAAAGGCGGTTCTGGTGGTGGTAGTGGAGGTGGAGGCGGAGGTAGTGGAGGTGGCGTTGCGCCTGGCGGCGGTGGAGGTTCAGGGCCTGGAGAGGCGCCTCGTGCAGTGACTGGTGACTCCACTGCGCCTGCTAGTGGTGGCGACGCCCGAGTTCGTCAGTCGCCTCCTGTACTTCCTGCCCCGGTTGGTGGAGCAGCGGCGTGGTACCAGGCTCAGCGTCAGCAGCAGCTTCTGCAGCACCAGCAGCCCCTCTCCTCCCAGCAGCCTCAGCAGCAGCAGCGGCAGCAGCTGGCTCCAGGGTCGGGGCTGCGTCAGACCCAGCGCGGTGCTGCTTACACTCCCTGCACCTACCAGGTTCTGACAGGCACTCGTCGTGGCCACCCTTGTGGCCGGTTTCACCCCCCTGGTCAGTGCTTTGCTCAGCTCACTGACACGGTTCGTTTGGTCTACGGGGTTGGTGCTCCTGCCCCTGACTGGCTGCCTCTTGTTCAGCGCTACGGCTCCGCTCTGTGGGGCATGTCTGCTGAGCAGTTAGTTGATCTGATTGGTACTCCCCATGCTATGTATGCTGTTGTTGACTCTAGTGTTTCTGACTCTGCTTACTCTGGTGTTGTTAGCTTAGGTGCTAGCCTTGCTCAGTTGCCTGTTGCTAGTGTAGGTTCTTGTGTAGACTCTAGTCCAGCGGCTACCTCAGAGGACGGTTCGCTGTCGTTCACGCTGGACTCTGGAGCCTCTCACTGCTTCTTTCGTGACAGCACGACACTTACGCCTCTTCCTGCGCCTGTTTCTGTGGCGCTGGCTGATCCCACTTCGGGACCAGTCACTGCGCGTCACACTACCACCTTGCCGTGTCCGGCTGCTCCTTCTGGGTCTCTCACTGGGTTTCACGTCCCCTCGTTCTCCCGGAACTTGGTGGGCGTGCGACCCCTCGTGAGTCAGCACGTGGGTGTGTGGTTTGAGCCTTCTGGAGAGACTGCGGTGTGTGTTGACGGGGACTCTTACCAGCCCCTCGCCACTTTTGCTGCTGAGCCGGGCTCCGGTCTCTACACTCTTCACACTGGCCCGCGCGCTCAGCAGCGACTGCAGCAGCAGCAGCAGCCGCAGCAGCAGCAGCAGCAGCAGCCGCAGCAGCAGCAGCGGCAGCAGCCGCAGCCGCAGCCACAGCGGCCGCCGTCGCAGCAGCCACTCCTCCCAGTTCCTGTCCCTCCCCCTAGTCTCCTCCCTGCGTCTCACCAGGTGGTTCCGTCCCCTCAGGTTGTCGCGTCCAGTCCAGTCGCTGCGTCTTGCTCCTGTCGGTCGCTTGCCCACCCCTTTGTTCTGTGGCACCACCAGATGGGACACCCTTCTCTTCCACGTCTGCGTGCTATGTCTAGTCAGCGTCTGGTCTTAGGTCTCCCGCGTGTCTTGCCGTCGCTGCCGCCGTCTCTTGCACCACCGTGCGGTCCTTGCGTCGAGGGTAGGCTGCGTGCCACCCCTCACTCCTCCTCCCTTCGTCCGGCCACCGAGCCTTTTGAGACGCTGCACTTGGACGTCTGGGGCCCCTCTCCTCGCCCTGGCCCTGAGCGTGAGCGTTTCTTTTTTGTGGTCGTTGACGACTACTCCCGCTACACCACAGTGTTCCCCCTGGCGAGGAAGTCTGAGGTGACTTCTACGCTGATCAGGTGGTTGCTTACCACCCAGGACACTCGTGGTCGTCGTGTCAGCTGTCTCCACTCCGACCGCGGGGGCGAGTTTCGCTCCGGCATTCTCGCTGGATTCTGTCGCGAACAGGGCATTCGTCAGTCCTGGACGCTTCCGGAGTCCCCACAGCAGAATGGGGTTGCTGAGCGTCGCATAGGCCTGGTCATGGAGATTGCCCGCACCTCCTTGACTCACGCCCGTGCCCCCCATTTCCTGTGGCCATACGCAGTCAGGTA